AGAGCCACAATAAGAGGGAAGGGGCCTCTGGGTCTCAACCCTGCCATCCAAGAGAGAGGGAAACTGAGGCCCAGAGCAGGTGGCAGAAGACCAGGATGTTGTAATGATTGGTTTCCCGGCCCATCCCATTGCCCTCTAAGGGGACGGAGGGCTGGCCCGGGGCTGGCTGTGTGGCTTCCGGTGTGCGATTTGTTTTGTTTTTGGTGGGTCGTGGGGCTTGAACTGGGGGATGGGGGCCCCATGGGGAGGGGCAGGGACCCCTGGGGTGGGGCTCACAATGCTCAGCGGCCGGAGGGACAGCAGGCTGTCGCTGCGGTGGCTGTTGGACCAGGCGTCCCAGCGCGGGTAATCTCCCTTCTCCAGGACAAACTGCTCCCCGCGGAAGGCCCTGCGCTCGAACGCCAGCCACCTGCCGGGGAACAGGCAGCGGCTGGGCATAGGGGACCAGGACTAAGGGGACACCCCACCCTCCTCCCCTTTTTTGCCAGTCCTGGCATTTGAACTCAGGATCTGGGCGCCGTCCCTGAGTCTTTTTGTTCCCCAGACTAGCACTCTACCACTTGAGCCACAGCGCCACTGCCAGCTTTCTGTGAGTAGTGTACTGCAGATAAGAGTCTCGTGGAGGGCTGGGAAGGTGGCTCAGTGGAAGAGTGCTTGCCTGGCATGCGTGAGGCCCTGGGTTCAATTCCTCAGCACCACATAAGCAGAAAAAGCTGGAAGTGGCGCTGTGGCTCAAGTGGTAGAGCGCTAGCCTTGAGCTGAAGAGCTGAGGGACAGCGCCCAGGCCCAGAGTTCAGGCCCCAGGACTGGCCAAAACCAAAATACAAAATAAAAACAACAGAAGAGTCTCGTGACTCATGGACTCTGCCTGAGCTGGCTGCGAACCATGATCCTCACTTCTCAGACTCCTGAGTAGCTAGGATGACCGACGTGAGCCCCGGGCCCGGGCTGAGCTGCGGCTTTCGGGCCTGGAGTCCCTCCCGCCCCTGGCCAGGCATCTGCTGACACGCAGGCGCAGGAGCGTGTAACACCACACCCAGCCCGGGTCTGGCCGTGCGGCGTCCGTGTGGGGCGGGGAGCTGGCTGCCTCCCGCCGGGCCCGCACACCCCACAGACATGGAGAGACCGCTGGTGGTGGTTCCGTGCCCTCCTTTCTCGCATGGGGAGACTGAGGCAGGGAGGGGACTGCGCGGGCACTCACGGGCCCGACTCCACTTGGATGGAGGCCACCTTCTCCAGCAGGCCGTCCGTGAGGTTGGCGCACTCGGCCGACAGCTCACACCGCCTGCCCTGGAAGTTCTCCAGCTCGTACAGGGTCACCTGGAGGGGGGAGAGCAGGGGGTCACCCCGCCCTGCTGGGGGGGGTCCTCCGCCGCCGCCCCCCACCCCGCCCCACCACGCCCCCTGGTGGCTGCCGGGCTCCAGGCAGGCAGCCATCCACAGACCGGAAATTTGCCAGGTGGGGCGGCCTGGACAGGGAGGGAAAGGTCCTGGGTGGCAGAGAATGGGGAGGGGCCCAGGGGAGCGCAGCCTCCCCCCTACACCCCACAGACAAGCAGCACTGAGTGTGCAGGCTCTTCAAGGGCTCTGCTACCCTCGGAGGCCCTGGGCTGGCTCAGCATCACAGGAAGAGCAGGCGCCCGGCTCTCTACGATGGCCTCTCCTGGCTCCCTCTCATTCCTTCACCCCCACACCCTCACATACACCCCCTGCGTGGATGGTCTCACCAAAGGCCCCGGAGATGGCCAAGCCACCAAAGGAAACTCAGAGAGGGTGAGGAACTAGGCCCGTGTCACACAGGAGAGACGGAGCTCAAAGCCACATCTGTTGGAACCAGGTGACCCTGCCCCCGGGCAGGGTGTGCGTGACACGCTCCCCCCCCTCCATGTGGCACATGCACGTGGCCGAGGGCTGGGAGGGAGGGCTGGCCAGAAGCGGGCCCCGGGGCCCGGGCACGCTCCCCTCCCCGATGGATGGCGGAAGGCGTCACCTTGTAGCTGCCCCCCAGGCCTCCATGGCTCTTGCCGGCCACTGCCTGCTCCTGGGCACCGTGCTGCTGCTCCGCCATCTCCCGGGAACTCTCGGCCTTCAAGGTAAAGGGGAAGGTGCGGGGACACGGGGCCCCGTGGGTGAAGCACTGGACTTCCGCTGCCGTCACCATGATCGACACTCAACCACTCAGTCATTCAACAAACACCCGTGGAGCCCCTGCTGGGGGAGGGGGCCTGCAGACGAGGCTGAATGGTGGGAGCAGGGACCCCATTTTCTAGAGGGGAACCCGGAAGCCCCACCAGGTGAGGCCCACGGCGAGGAAGGAAGGGACCAGAGCTGGGGCCTGAGGCGAGGGCTCAGCAGACTCAGCCAGAGGCGCCCCCTGCTGGGGTCCCTTCCCTCCCCCTGCCTTGCCAGCCCTGGGCCAGGGCCCTCAGCCTGGGGAGGGAACCGGGACGCGGACACGCAGAGAAAGCCGAGTCAGGGCGCGGTCCTTGCACAACTGCCCTAGGCCGCGCGGCCTGTGACTCGTTCCACGGGCAATTCTGGCGTGCTTGCTGCACACAGGCCACCGCCAGACAGGCGGCGACACGTGACCCAGGCCCCTGCGGGTCCCACGTGAGAGGCCTGGCGGGGTGAGTGTGCACACGCCTGTGCACGCATACATGCACACGGGCAAACACACATCCCTGCACATACACATGCATGCACACACACACATCCCACCCAAGGCATCTCTGTCTGTCTGTCTGTCTCCTACACACACACACAAACATGGAGCACCCACATCCACGCCTCATTTCCCTTCCTCGGCTGCTCAGTCTTTGAACCCCCCCCCCTTCCCAGCCCCCAGCCCCCACCCTCTGACACACAGGCGATCCCCCCCTCCCCGTCTTAGGCCCCCTCTGTCGGCCCCACCCATGAGTGATGCCTGGTCTGGGCCCGGGTCCAGTTCCCACCCCTGCCCCGTGTCCCCGAATGCACCTGCCGCTGGAGCTCAGGAAGGACCGGCAGAGGGGCGGCTCACGCTGGGCGGCCTCCAGCACCCAGCTATTTATGGCTGCATCCTGACAGCCCAGCACATCGGGGCCTGCTGAGCCAGCGTCCTGTCCGCCCCATTCCTCCCGGGCCACTGCACCCCAATAGCGAGCCCCGGGCGGCCCCCCGCGCCTGTCTCCTCGGTCAGGGCCTCTGAGCGCTTCCTGGGGGCAGGGGTCTGTGATACACGGCTTTCCTGCTCCCCCGAGCCTTCTCCCTTTGCGTTCTCAGTGCTCCTAGGATACCTGACCCCCCTAGAAAGGAGTTCTGAAATAAAGGGGACCCCAGATCCCCCCCCGTCGCCCACATGTTCCATGGCTCACAGCTCAAGTCAGGTCTCCCCAAACTCATCATCCAAATTGGGCGTGCATCCGCTTCTACACGAGGCTGTCACAGAGCCTTCTTCATACAGGCCACGCGGGCAGACAACAGCATTTTCCAGAGCCCTACTACGTGCAGGGCGCCGGGCTGGCCTTGCTCACGTCGTCTGAGCCTATTAGAGAGGCAGAGTGGTCTTCACACTGTGAGGACACTGGGCGGACGAGAGGCAGGGAGGGAATCTGCCACAGGGCCTTGGGCTCGCCCCTCTACATAGGGAACTATAATGCTCAGCCTGAACAACTTATCCAATCAAGGTAACTTTGCCTCCAACAGGTGGTGTGTGTGTGTGCGTGTGTGCGCGCACACACATGTGCATGTGTGTGCTGGTCCTGGGAACTTTCAGACGTTTTGCTCAAGGCTGGTGCTCTACCACTTGAGCCACCATTCCATTCCGGCTTTTTGGTGACTAATTGGAGACAACGGTCTTGGTCTTTGCTGCCCAGGCTGGCTTCCAACCTCAGTCCTCAGATCTCAGCCTCCCGAGGAGCGGGGCTGACAGGTGTGAGCCATCAGCACCTGGCCTGCAACAGGCACTTAATAAGCAATTATTCACTCAGGGAGGAAGAAAGCTGTGAATGGGTTAAATGAACTGCGTTTCCTTTTGTAGGTTTTGTGTGCTCTGGACTGACATTTGACCCCCAACCTCTTTGTCCATCAGCGAGTGCCTGGATTCCTTCTGCACAGCTTTGATGGACATCTGACAGAAACAACTAGATGGAGAAAAAGTATGTATTTGCCTGGTTTCAGAGGGCCGGGTTCAAGGTCCTGGAGCTCCATGAATGTGAACAGAACCTCAGGGCAGGGCCCCAGGCCCCTGCGACGGCGCAAGGCCAGGCTCCTGCTGCCATCTGGTGGACACTTCGGGAGATGGCAGCGGCAGGGGCCACTGTCGGGTCCCCAGAGGACCCCAGGAACCATTGCTGAGTATTTGTATTTGCTCCCCCCCGCCGACCCCCGCACAACCCGGTTGGGGGCTTGAACTCAGGGCCTGGGGGCTGTCCCTGAGCTCTTGTGCTCAAGCCTAGCGCTTTACCACTTGAGCCACAGCACCACTTCCAATTTTTGAGTAGATAACTGGAGATGAGTTTCACAGGGACTTTTCTGCTCAAGCTGGCTTTGAACTGCGCTCCTCAGATCTCAGCCTTCTAAGTAGCTGGGGTACGGGGTATGAGCCACCGACACCCAGCTGTGTTTGTTGGTACATCTGTGAGCGTCTGTAGGAGCCAATCTGCAACCTAAGCAAAGCACTTTTGGGGGTGAGCATGGGGGGTGGGAGACGGGGCTTCCCAGTACACCCTGGCGTCTCCTGGCATGCTGTGGTAACTGCCTCTGTCCTTGCCTGGATCTCTGAGGGCACAGCCCACCCCGAGGGGGAGGGGATGCCGACACCTGGTGCAGTCTGGAGGTGACAATGGAAGGCAGGCCTTGGTAGGGCTCCATTCTGAGATGTCCACCCCAGAACCCCGTGCCAGCCAAGCTTGATTCCTGCCCTCCTCCTACCCCCCCCCGACCCCCCACTGCCCAGCCACGGAAGAGCAGAGGGCAGGCCCAGCCCGGCACGCCCAGGCACAGACCGGCTTTGTCCAACATAAACATGTAACAAAGCTTTATTTGCAGTTTTCAGAGTCGGATCGCAGCGTCCTGACACTCGGGGCTCACCATCACATGGACACCGCCGGCCGGATTTCCGGCCGCTCATCCAATCCACGAAGAAACTTCTTTATAGAGATGAGAAAGAAAGAAAAACCAAAACCAGAAAACAACAATCCCTTGCACAATCAGTAGTACTCTGGGAGCTCCAAGAAGCCACACTGCGGTTTTATTATTTTTTTTCCCATTAAAAATATAAAGTTTTGTTCTGTTTTCCTAGGGGGGTCATCAGTGGTGCAGGCAGGCTGCGGGTAAATGCCTGTGGCTTTGTCTGCCTTCCGTCCGTGATCCTGGAGCCAGGAGCTTGGGGTCGTGGCGTGTGTAGTCTTTTGGTGCCAGAAGAAACGATTAGGAAAATATAGACTATATGTATGGCTCGCCCCCCTCCCCCATCCTGCTTAACGAAGCGTGGGGCCCGCGGCCACTGGGGACGCGCTGGGCCCCCAGGGCTGTGGCGTGAGTTAGGAAACGACGCAGAAGCATCTTGTCCGGTGGCACGGCCCACGGCGGTCCCGTGAGCCCCTCCTGCATAAGGCAGTGGTGTGGGACACGGGTCCACATCACAAGCTCTCTTCAGGCCTGATTTGTAGGTGACAGGATGTCACCAGTGATTGTCACGGGTCAGAGTCACGGAAGAAGGGGGGGGGAGGGAGGCCTCCAGGCCCAGGGGCCCATCCCGGCCCCCGTAGCTGAAGGGAGGGGGTCCTCGGGTTTTCAGGCACTCCGGGGGGTACCATCTGGGGGAGGGGGGGCTTCGGGGTGAAAGAGTTCAAAAGCACAGGAGGAGACGGTGGCCATGGGGGCCCGGGATAGAAGAGTCTGCCCTGGCCCAGGCCGCGGCTCAGGCTTTCCTTGTGGCTTCCTGCCGTGGGCCTCACTTCCCAGACACGCGGAAGGAAATGCACCTGGGTGCCATGGGAAGGTGTGGTTGGCTCCCCTGGGGATGCTCTTGGCCTGGCTTCCCCCCCACACCACCACAGCTGTCACATTAGCACCTCACCCACCCCCATCCTCCCAGGACCCTGAGCTTCCCTCCCACAAGCTCTGGGGGTTCAGTTGCCAAAGGGATCCCCCCCCATACCCACCCACCATGCCTCTCAGCCAGAGATGGTAAAGGCAGCAGGGAGAAGATACAGACATATGGAAAGGGCAGCAGCTGTCCTAGCGGGGAGGGGCAGGGGAGGGGCTAGGGAGCAGAGGGGAGGGGCCTGCGGGAGGAGGCTGCCCGCCAGTCTGCATTCTGCACCAGGCTCTCTCCTCTGAGGACAGCCACCTGGAGGAGCGTCACACGGGGGTAGGCTCGATTAAGGCATATTACGCAAGGCATATTAAGGGGAGACACAGTTCCAAAGGCAAAGGGAGGACAATGAACCTGCATGCAGCCAGAGGCTCAGCCCCGGGGAGCTCGCCCAGCGAAGAGGAGAAATCAACAGCCCACTCATCTGTGCTCCTGGGTCTTCGCAGGGCCCCTCAGGGGTCACCAGAACCCGGAATTGTGGGAAGAGCCACAGAGGGCCTCAGAGGTCACAAAGACCCTGTCTGGGTTCCAGGCGATGAATTCAACCAATCCACCTGGAATCAAACATGTCTGCTGCCAGCGAGCCCTGCAAGGATGCCCGAGGTCCATCTCACTTCCGAGTGGGTGTCTTCCTCACTGGGACAAAGACACAGCTCCTTGGACACGAAGCATCCTGCAGGGCACACAGGACAATCTCGTACCCCCGGAGGAAGGAGAGGATGTGGAGGTCAAACACCAGCCATGTGCTCAGAAAGCCACTCTGCCAAAATCCATTGAAGGGCAAGCACAGAATGGGTCTTCAAAGCAGATACGCAGAGCAAGTGTTGCTGTGGAATCCCATTCCCCTAACGGCTACAGGGAACCGACTGGCCCTGAATTCAGGAAAGGAAGGAAATGCAAGCTGGCACTGAGCTGGGGAGGTGATGGGGCTTTTAGGGGCAGCAGGGGTGTGTGTGTGTGTGTGTGTGTGTGTGCGCGCGCGCGCGCACACGTGCGTGTGCATGCATGCACACCTGCATGCCTGGCACCGCTGTCCGTGGTGCTACACACAGGTGTTTGCTGAGCCTGGAGGAAATCAGGATTTGCTATCCCTGTCCACCCCACCTGAGCGGGAGAAAAGCAAGAAAAGAGAGATGACAGAGAGGATGTGACACAGCGGGAAATGGAGACTCGTGGGGAGGTGGGCAGGGGGAAAGAGGGTGAGTTTTGACACTTGTTGTTGTAGCGCAATGACCAAGGCCGGCTCCATGTCTCGGGAAGTCGGGTGGGGTGGGGGTGGGGCGGGGGAGACCCTGTGGAGGGCTCTAATGAGCACCATGCACAGGTCCATCAGGATGCCCAGCCCGAGGCCACCCCAGGGCCTCCCCGGGTTGTGTCTCCTAGGCAAGGTTGGCACCCGGCAGATAGCAACCCCAGGCCGGGCAGGTATAGGTGAGACGTCTTTACGGACCTGGGTTTGGGGGTGCAGGAGGCTGGTGCTTGAGTCCCTAAAAGGAAGGACAGAGTGGAGGTGTCTGGCGTCTCCAGAGGTATTAGCCACCCCTCAGAGCTTACCGTCAGCAAGAACAGACAAACAAGAAAGGAGGCGAGCTGAGCCTCACATCCCACCCCCTTTCCTCTGGTACCTCTGCTTAGAGTCTCTGGTCTGGGGAACCCCTCGCTCCCCCCAAAAAGGGCTTCGAATAAGATGATGGAGTTGTAATGTGGCTGCCATTTGTGAACCTAGATGTTGAGGGACAAAGGTCTCCGCCCAGAAATCAGAGCCCCCCGTGCAAAAAGCCTGGGGGACAGTTACAACTTTTCGGCAGCTCAGAGAAGAGTAAGATAACCTCAAATGGACACTGGGAAACCCAGGACTCGAACTGCCATCTCCCCGTCGTCTAATCTAAAGAGTGTCCATTGTCAAGTTTCAAAGAGGATTGGCTGAATTATTGCTTCATCGCCTCCAAAAGCCAACAAGCAGGGTACACGCAGCGCCCTGCCTGCTGGAAAGGAAAATCCATTTCAGATGCTGAAAAGAGACTTAAAAAAAAAATCAATCAAAAGTCCCATGGCAGTGTCCTGGGCCGAGGCCCCAGCAGGACGGGCACAGTTGGAGCCCCCTTAGCAATGTCTTCCAGAGAGCCCTGCCGGGGAGGAGCAGGTGTCTTCAGAGGAACGCAGGAGCGGGTCCAGCCCCGGGTGACGGCCCGGTGTCGACGGAAGGCGTTGAAACAAGGTAGAAATGCAAACTTGTCTTTCTGAGATAGGGTCTCCGTAGGTAGGCCCAGGTCTGGCTGGCACTGAACCTGAGATCCAGTCCTGCTTGGGTCTCCTGAGCGGCCAGGATGACGCACATGCACCGCCCTGCCACAAGTGCTGTATGCAGGGCCCGGCAGGGGACTGCGGAGGGCGGGCCTTCCTGTGTGAGGTGGTCTGCAGGGCCCGGCAGGGGACTGCGGAGGGTGGGCCTTCCTGTGTGAGGTGGTCTGCAGGGCCCGGCAGGTGACTGCGGAGGGCGGGCCTTCCTGTGTGAGGTGGTCTGCAGACCACGGAAGGGCCCAGGCACATGATGCTTGGCGCAGGGAGGAACGGTGGCTGTGGCCTCCTCCGAGGGGTCTGATGGTCACAGTTAAGGCTTCTGTTGATTAGGTGTGGCGGTGTCCCACACCTGGAGTAGAAAGAGCAATCTGGGTTCAGCAGACGGAGCGTTTCCCGCCCCCCATTTCTCTCCATCACTAGGCCTCTGGCCTTGGCCAGGGCCTGGGTGCGTGATGTCATTTGGGGGCATGCTCAGCGTGCAGGCGCTGGCTTCCCATCCCCAGCACCGTCATCAAAATAACTAGACCAGGTGCCGGTGGTCCCTCACGCAGGTGATCCTAGCTACTCAGGAGGCTGAGATCTGAGGATTGTGGCTGGAAGATAGCTTTGAGAAACAAATCCAAGAGACTTTTTTTTTGGCCGCAGGGCTTGAACTCTGGGCCTGGGCGCTGTCCCTCAGCTCTTCAGCTCAAGGCTAGAGCTCTACCACTTGAGCCACAGCGCCACTTCCAGTTTTCTGGTGGTTTATTGGAGATAAGAGGCTCAGAGACTTTCCTGCCCAGGCTGGCTTTGAACCGTGATCCTCAGATCTCAGCCTCCTGAGTAGCTAGGATTACAGGCGTGAGCCACTGTTGACTGGCTTCAAGAGACTTTTATCTCCAATGAATCAACAAAAAGCTGGAAGTGGCTCGAGTGGTAGGGCACCAGCCTTGGGTGAAGAAGCCAAGTGAGAGCAAGAGGCCCTGAGTTCAAGCTCCAGTACTGGCACAAAAGGGAAAAAAAATTCATGTGGATCTTTTGTTGTTGTTGTTGTTTGTTTCAGATCCTTCCTCCCCAAGAATGCATCCCTGGGCTGGGAAGGTGGCTCAGTGGTAGAGCGCTTGCCTTGCATGCCTGAGGCCCTGGGTTTGATTCCTCAGCACCACATAAGAAAAAAGAAAAAAGCCGGAAGTGGCGCTATGGCTCAAGTGGTAGAGCGCTAGCCTTGAGCTGAAGAGCTGAGGGACAGCACCCAGGCCCAGAGTTCAGGCCCCACGACCGGACCCAAAAAAAAAAAAAAAATCCCAAGAATGCATCCCTTACAAATCTCAAGTCAGGAGGAGATCTGGGCTGGGAGGGAGGATGGGAAACAGGGGAAGTCTGATTTCATTACAAGAACTTGAGGTTAATTTTCCTGAAATGGATTGTGGGGGATAACAGTGAATTCTGCGCCACGGCTGAGGTGAGGGGTTTGCTGATTGGCCTGGGATGAGCCCTGCGCCCCAGAGAGGATCACGGTTCACAACACTGCTGCACACTGTGCACGCTGGCACCAGATCCTGAACTCAGGGCTCCAGGTCCCCCACCCCCTTGGCTCTCAGTGCTCAACCACTCCAGCCATATCTCCAGCCCACATTTTTGCTGGTAAATTGGAGATGAGAGTCTCACGGACTTTTCTGCCTTGGCTGGCTTTGGACTGCGATCCTCTGTATCACACTCTCCTGAGAGGCTAAAGATTTGGGTCAGGGGCCATCCTTGCTTGTCCGGCTACATTTTTTTTAACTTAATTTCAGTTACACCATTTGTACATGAAGGTCACTGCCTCGTTCCAGATGCAGCCTCGGACCTCCCCTCCACCTCCGCCCCTCCGCCTTTTTCCAGGATCCGGCAGCGCCCGGCCCACCTGGTCAGGCTTGGTTCTCACACAGGCTCTGCCTCTTCTTGGACTTCAGCTCCCTTAGCCACTGGGGAGACGGCTCTTCCGACCTGCCACCATAAAGCCACAGGGGAAGTCAGGTCACGAGGGGGGCGGGGGCGCGGGGCTGGGGGATGGGGGACGGGGGGCGGGCGGGGAGGGCAGGGGCGATGGGGGACGGGGATGGGGAGGGGCAGGGGCGATGGGGGATGGGGGACGGGGGGGACAGGGGCAATGGGGGACAGGGCGGGGGGGGGGGGAGGGGAGGGTTCCCGCTGAGCCCAGCATCGGGCCCTGATCACCCAGCCCATCACGACCCTCCCAGCATGGTGGAGGCTTGTGAGCCCGTGTGGGGACCGCAGCCCTGGCCTTGGCTGAGGCTGGGAGGCGCTGGGCACTCTGGGCTGGGCTCTGTGTGGAGGGGGCCTGGCAGGGGACTGGCAGCTGCTCCCCCAACTTGCCCCAGAGTCCCCCCTCCATGCTGAGAGCTCCCTGGAGAGAAGGCAGCCTGCCCCAGTGTCCCCTTAGGGCTGTGTTGGTTGGTGGTTCCAAGCAACAGAGCTGGGTTTGGGGGCTGGGGTGGCAGGAATCGGGGAAAAGAAGCAGGACCCCAGGAACCGAGCCGCTGCTGTCTGGTGGGAAATCAGAGACTTGTGGCCAGTGCAGAAGCCAGCAGATGCCTGGGGCTCCTGGGTCCTGAGTGGGGGGACCCCCCTGCTCCCCCCCGTCCCCAGGCCGCTCACCTCTCATCCTTGTCCACACTGGAGGGCAGCACACGGCCGCCCAGCACTCCAGGCTGGAAGGGGGACTTGGGGGTCCTGGGGGCCCAGCCGGGGGTCTCGCTGGGACCGTGCAGCCGGGCCTGGAGGGAAGAGAGCCACGGTGGGGCCGCCTACTGCCTGGGGAAGGCCTCACTCCCGACGTGAGCAGACGCGGGGGGCCCTGGAGAGGTCCTGAGCGAACCCAGGCAGGAGCTGGGGGTCAGGGCAGGGGCCAGCAGGGGCCCCTCACAGAAGGCGACTGCCAGAGCCGGCGAGCACCGGCTGGCACCGAGGCTCCTGCGGCAATGTCCTGCCACGCCACCCATCGCCTCGGCCTTCCAGAGAAGCCCCCAGACAGACAGCACGCACGTGCACGCGCACGTACACACACACCCACTGCCCCTGGCCTCCTCGGACACGCGCACGCATGCGCACACTGCCCCCGGCCACCCGCTGGCCTCCTCACTGCTCCAGGGCTCTGACCGGAGTCTGCAGGACCCTGACGTGGCCTGATGCGGCGGTGGTCAGAGTCTCCACCTACACTGCCCGCTCCACGCGCGGCGCCCAGCGGCTTCCACGCACGCCTGCCTGCAGCCGCTCTCCCTCGTGGCCTGCCCGGCACGCCCAGGGCGCCCAGGGCCTATCAGGGCGGCCTTCACACGTGGTTTCTTTGTCAATAAGGAAGAGCAGAGACCGCCCATGTGCGAGGCTGCTGGGCTGGAAGGAGTGAGGGAGGTGGGGAGGGGAAGAAAGAGGGAGGAAAAAAAGAAAAAAAGGAAAGGAGAGCGGGAGGAAGGAGAGAAGGAAGGAAGGCACAGGGAGGATGGAGGAAGGGAGGAGAGGGGGAGAGGGAGAAGGGGAGAGGGGGAGAGGGAGGGGAGGGGGAGAGGGGGAGAGGGGGAGAGGGAGAAGGGGAGAGGGAGGAGAGGGGGAGATGGGGGAGAGGGAGGAGAGGGGGAGAGGGAGAGAGGGGGAGAGGGAGGAGAGGGGGAGATGGGGGAGAGGGAGGAGAGGGAGAGAGGGGGAGAGGGAGGAGAGGGAGAGAGGGGGAGAGGGAGGAGAGGGAGAGAGGGGGAGGGGGGAGAGGGGGTAGGGGGGAGAGGAGGAGAGGGGGGAGGGGGAGGGGGAGAGGGGGGAGAGGGAGGGGAGAGGGGGAGAGGGGGAGGGGGAGGCAGCGGCTGGGGCGAGTCCAGTACCTTGAGAGCCGCGGGGTCCAGGCCTGGGAAGGCGGGCGTCCTGTGCAGGGGGCCGGTCGGCGTCCGCTCCACGCTAGACGAGTTCTCTTCCTCATCTGACTCCTCCCTCCGGGGCGATTTCTCTTCTGTGGCAAAGCGAGGGAGCCCAGTGGCCGGCGTCTGCCACGCCACGCCACGCGGGGAGCAGGGAGGCCTCTGTGTCCGACCCTGCCACCGCAGCCTCTCCACGGCGGCCTGGAGCGGGCAGGACGCTCCCAGCTCCTGTTTCTACCAGGTCCCCCCTCCCCTCCCCCCCCCTCCCCCTCTCTCTCAAGCTCTACCTCCTGCTAGCTGATACCGAGCGGATTCTCCCCAAGGAAAGAACAGACAGACAGACAGACAGACAGACAGGCCACATCCGGGTCAGGGAAGCCGGTGGACACCCTGGCAGAGACTGAGGGTGGCCCGCCAGCCAGGGCCGAGTGATGCATGCAGGGCGGGAGGTGGGAAGGTGGGGAGTCCACTGTGTCCTGCCCCTCCAGGCCACCAGGACGCCCCTGGGGGCGCTCTGCATTTTTATCCTAACTCTGGTTTATCTGCTCCAAGTGGCTCCAGGAAAACCCAGGAGGCTCGGGGAGACATCTGACTCACTGGCGGGCACAGGGGATGGGAGAGAGGGACCCGGCCCCCCTCACTCAGAAGCGAGGCCCTGCAGCTAAGTCCCCAGCAGAACTTCAGGGGTCTCCCTGGCCCCGGACCACCCCTCCCTCTGCCAAGATTCCCAGCTCCTGCCACACAGAAAGCTCTTCCCACCCCGGCCACCCGTTGATGGCTGGGTCCACAATGCTCTTCCCTAGATCATTCTTATCTGCCTCAAGATTCTGCTCTGTTCTTAATATGGAATGCAGCCAAAGCAGTGTCCAGAGGAAAACATATAGCCTCTAAAAATGTATTTAGGAAAGTTAATTAAAACAAGAAACAAAAACAAAACCTGGTCTGTCCACGCAAGAACCTAGGGAAGGATCAGCAAGCCTAAAGAGCGAACAGAGAAGGGCGACTTTCACAGGGATCACAAACCAATGTTAGGTTATGTCTGCGCCCTTTGTGACCCAAAGGGCCCCGATTTGATTCTCTCTCAAAACACTTGTCTTATAAGCTCTGTAGAAGAAGAACCCCCCATCCTACGTGGTCGAGTTCTGCTGTCTGGGAACCTCCTCCCAGGGTTTGAGGTCAACCCTCCCCGCAGTTCCGGGTGGTGGGTGGGTGGGGAAGGGTGTGGCCTGCGAACCTGTGGAGTCCTTGAACATCCACAGGCTGTCGGCCTCCTCCTCCACGGGGGTGGGGACCCCGGCCTCCCCGGAGCGGCTGCGCAGGGCGTGGCCGAGGGTGGGCGCGCGCCGGCGGCTGCGCTTGCTCAGCTGCACCCGCGTCTTCAGAGCGCTGGAGTCCAGGACCGAGGTCTGCTGCGGGGTGTGAGGGGGGGAGAGGGGGAAGCAAGGCGTGGGGCGCAGGCCACGGGGCCGGGGCTCAGGGCCGCGTGGACGCCTGGCTGCGTCTTCCCCTCTTCTGAGAGCCCCCGGCAGCCCTCAGGCTCATCACCAGAACAGGGAACCCACACAGACCTGGGGGCCGGAACGCAGCCCCCCTCCCCCAGTCTCCATAGCCTGTGAGGGCAAGAGCCCGCCCTACCCCTAAACGCGTCCGAGCTGCGGGCACTAGTCACAAGCACGCAGGAGCTGAGGACCAGAGAGGCCGGGGAGCTTCCCCAGGACACACAGCTGCGCGTGGCCAGCCCAGGAGGGGCCCTGCTTGCCTGAGCAGGGGTCCCCTGCAGGCAGAACCTCCTGGAGGGACAGTTCAGGAGTGGCCTGAGCCTGTGTCTGTCTTTCTAGATACCTGGGAGGCTGAGGTCGGGAGCTCGCTTGGGCAAAAAAGCTGCGAGCCGCAGGCTGGGAGGCGTAGCTCAGGTGGCAGAGCGCCTGCCCAGGAGCACAGATTGCAGAAGAGAGGGACGGGGAGGAGGAGGGGAGGGGAGGAGGGAGGGGAGGAGGGAGGGGAGGAGGGAAGGGAGGGGAAGAGGGAGGGGAGGGGAGGAGGGAGGGGAGGAGGGAGGGGAGGAGGAGGGGAGGAGGGAGGGGAGGAGGGGGGGAGGGAGGGGAGGAGGAGGAGAGGGGAGGGAGGAGAGGAGGGAGGGGAGGAAGAGGAGAGGGGAGGGAGGGGAGGAGGAGGGGGAGGCTGCCATCTGCAGCGCGGGCACTCACGTGGATGAAGGGGAAGTGGTCCACCGCGTGGGCAGGGCGGGTGTCGGGTGGCAGGGGTCCCCCGGGGCCGTCCGTGGTCTCGAGCTCAGGGTCGGAGCGGCCAGCGCTGGTGCTCCCTGGACCCCCGGGGCGGCCATGCTCCTCGGTGGAGGGCCCGGGCGGGGAGGATGGGGAGGACGGGGAGGAGAAGCGGGAGCTGGCGGGCTGTCTCCGCCCCGCTGTGCCGTCGGGGGACGGGGGTCCCGGGCGCCACGCTGCGAGGAGCAATGGAGAAGCCCCTGAGAACCGAGCGCAAACACAGGAGCGGGCGGGTGGGCGCCGCGGATCTTCCACACCAGGAACCGGGGGCAAAGCCTCCCGGGGCCCCGCCTGAAGGAGCTCAGGCCAGCATGTGCCGGTCTGTGCCGCTCACAGCGCCCCCCGCTGGGCAGGTGGGGGAGCTGCCCGGTGCCCATCACTACCTCCTTGGCTGCTGTGGGCTTCAGCGCTGGGGGGGGAGGGCAGCCAAGGGTGGGGGCGGGGGCAGCCCAGGGTGGGGGGGGGCGGGCAGCCAAGGCAGGGGGGCGGTGTCCCTGAATGTAAGCAGATGCTGGAGCTCCCACAGTCTGGGAGCAAAAAAAGAATGTAAAATGTCCTATTAACAGCTTCCTGAGAACCCGCAGACCTGGAAGGTGGCTCAGTGGTAGAGCGCTTGCCTGGCGTATGCACGAAGCCCTGGGTTCCAGTCCTCAGAAAAGGCAGGAAGTGGCACTGTGGCTCAAGTGGTAGAGCGCTAGCCCTGGGCAAAAGCAGCTAGGGACAGTGCCTAGGCCCTGAGTTCAAGTCCCAGGACTGAAAAAAAATGAATAATGGCATGAAAACTTGTGAAGATTAAAACAAATGCATTTTACTCATTCCTCAATACTCTGCACAGATGGGTCTGTGTGTGTGTGTGTGTGTGTGTGTGTGTGTGTACATGCGTGTGTGTGTTCCAGTCCTGGGGCTTGAACTCAGGGCCTAAATCCTGTCCCTGAGCTTTTTCACTCAAGGCTAGCACTTTACCACTTGAGCCACAGCTCCACTTCTGGCTTTTTCCTGGAGATCAGAGTCTCACAGACTTTCTTGCCTGGCTGGCTTTGAGCCATGGTCCTCAGATCTCAGCCTCCTGAGTAGCTGGGATGACAGGCATGAGCACCAGTGCCCAGGAAGATGGGGGCTGGGGAACTTCCGCACAGCTCCCCCTAATTCGCTCGTGTCTGGGATGAGGGAGGGCCGGCTGACCGAGCAGCTCCGTGCAGCCGTGGGGCTGACAGGCATGGCCGAGCCTCCCCACTACCCTACAAGGATTACATCAAACCCTGGAGCCCTGCAATCTGACCATGCAAAGTAACTGCTGGCCTCGAGTCATAATCCTCCTCCTTCCTACTGCCCTCTCGTAGCGGGGCCTGCAAGTGTGCACCACCTCACCCGGGCTGTTTGCTAACATGGGGGTCTCGTGATCTTTCTGTCTAGGGCAGCTTTGGACTGTGATTCCCCCTGATCTCTGTCTGTCTCCCCGGGAGCGGGGTTTACAGCAGGACCAGGTGGGAAATGCATCAACAAGCCCAGCTAGGCACACCTCCACCACACACACAGAGCCAGGAGCACGGCGGAGCTTCTAAGCCAGGACATGGGCCTGAGTCGTCAACCCTGGCACCCTGGTGCTTGCCATGCCTCGGCCACTCGGGGAGGAGGATTCCATGACAGGTGGCAGGTGGGCGGGATTGAGACAAACGTGGCAGGTGGCAGGCTTGTCCACCACCTGTGATGCTTGACCGGGGATGCTGCAGTACCGCTGGGGTACAGCAGGGGGCGCCGGCCACCGGGAGAACCCAGGCCCCGTTCAGCCCAGGCCATGTTCATCGCGGTCACAGTGGTGCGGAGCTAAGAGCTGGGCCCTGCCTCACTCAGCGGATGGGCAGAGCCGAGAGCGGGGTCTCTTCAGGGATACAAACTCCCTACTGCGTGCGGGCCTCCTCTCCCGCCAGACAGGGCACGAGTGAACGTTCACACGCGTAACTGACTCGTGATGGCTGGTTGGTGAGCTGTTGTCCCTGGGGATGGGAGATGTCACCGGAAAACCATAGCTCACCCTTCCCGGGGCTCAGGCCAGCTGGGGCGGGGCAGATTCGCACCTGGCAGGCTCTGAATCCAATTAAGGCTCCAGAACCTGCAGCCAAAGTATTTTCTCCTAGCCAGGCTGGCACGCAAAGCCCCACAACACACGTGCCTTAGAGATGGTTCGGACACGGCTTATAAAGAAGTAAGAGGTGTGTCCAGCAATGTGTGCCTGTAATCCAAGCCCTCGGGAGGTAAAAGCAGGAAGACTGCAAGTATGAGACCAGCCTGGGCTGCGTAGCGAGACCCTGTCTCAAGAAAAAAAAAATACGCCAGCTATGGTGGCTCACACCTCAATCCCAGCTATTCAGGAGGCAGAGATCAGGACAATCATGGTTCAAGACTAGCCAGGAAATGGCTGTGCCCCACACAGCACACACTCACCTGCAATCCCAGATACAACAGGGAGGCAGAGATGTAAAGGCTATTCATTCAAGGATGGCTGGTCAAAAAAGTGGAAGACCCTATCCGAAAAATAACCTAAAGAAGGAAAGGGCTGGGGGTGTGACTCAAATGGTAGAGTGCCTGCCTAGCAAGGGAAGGAAGGAAGGAAGGAAGGCAGAAAGAAAGAAAGGAAGAAAGAAAGAAGAAGGAGGAGGAGGAGGAGGAAAGGAAGGAAGGAAGGAAAAGAAAGAAAGAAAGAAAGGAAGGAAGGAAGGAAGTCCCTCAATGAGCCCCCTCACCCACTGGGGCATCCGGTTCTGTTAATGACCACAGTAACCAGTGACAATCCCCTAACGTAGCACGCCAACATTCTCATTTGACAGAAATGAATGGAGTGGGGGGGAGGGGGGAGGCTGGGAAGGGAGGTGAAGGGTAAACAAAGGAGGAGGCTGCAATGCTTGGTAAGAAATGTATGCATTATCCTGCCCATGTAATTGTAACCCCTCTGTACAGTATGTTCACAAATAAAACAAAATTAAATTAAAAAAAAAAAAAGAAATGAATGGAATAGTGCAGAACAGAACTTAAAATTTAAAGCAAGCGTAAATTTGGGCAATTGGATCTGCAACAAGTTTAAAACATTGAACGACAAAATTCTATTCTACATAAGTGAATCTGGGATATTTTACTCGTTCCTTACCATGTCTTACTATAAATTAGAAATTCAATCGTATAGCTATAGACCTGTGCCTACGTAAGAACTCTGTATCAGGAATAGAGGGATTGGGTTGAAAACCTAAATAGGTAAATTACTTGCTTAGATTTAATTTTCCTCTCGGCTTCTGATGGGCACGAGATATTGGAAGCCTAAAAGTTTAACAGTTCTCAAAGGACAAGTGAGCCCGTTTCTGTAGAAATTATCTTGGTCAATGCTCGAATACAGGAAGCAAGTAATTTCTACTTACAGCTATAATGGTTCATAATAAAGAACCTTAACTTGCGAAGCAAAATGTATTCGAGCTGTTTTAATTCTCAGCCATGTAACTCAAGGATTTTTTTTTAGGTTGTATTACTGTTCATCTGCCATCTTTATTTAATAGTTAACCTGGTTCCAAAGAGAATGTGAAAGTGTTCAAATGTTTGCAATTATGCCAAAACATCCTAATGCTATTTTCTGCCCTGTGTTTTAAAATTCTTCTAAATGTTTTATTCAAATTTCTATTAGCATTATTCTTTTGGTTGAATGCTTTTGTGGTAAGATAATAAGTATTCTTAACATTGTTAAAGAAGAAAGAAAGAAAGGAAGAAAGAAAGAAAGGAAGGAAGGAGGGGAAAAAATAGAAGTGTCCTATGTATACTATGTCCTAGCATTGGTAGACACACACACACACACACACAGAGGAATACAGGGAACATCATCTAGAGAGAATAAAATCATTGCCTAAAGGTGTATCTGTGTGCAGGGATCACAAATGACTCATTTTCTTTCTAAGTCTTCTACTAATAAAATTTACACAGCAAGCCGTACGCTGGTGGCTCAGGCCTGTCATCCTAGCTACTCAGGAGGCTGAGATCTGAGGATCGCGGTTCAAAGCCAGCCTGGGCAGGAAAGTCCATAAGACTGTTATCTCCAATAAGCCACTCAGAAAACCAGAAGTGGTGCTGTGGCTCAAGTGGTAGAGCGCTCCCCTTGAGCTGAGGAGCTAGGGACAGCGCCCAGGCCCGGAGTTCAAACCATGGCTATCAAAAGAAAAAAAAACAACAAACCACCGAGTGTGTTTATGGAGCGGACGCTGACCGTCACACTTGCCGCCACTGATTTGCTGGAATGTTTTTGTCAACCTTTCAGGAAATCTGGGACCCTGGGACCTTTGCCTCCCGACCCCCATGGGCCCTAGACCGCCCCAACCTGCCTCCATGGATCCGTCTCCCTCCCCACATCACACTTCATTTTGTTCTTCTGTGCTTGCAACATTCTCTTTCCATGACGGGAGGCTTGTGAGGCGCAGTCCCCGCCGTGCGGGGTGGCCGGGTGTGGCCCGCCCCCTCCGCGCCGCGCCCCGCCCCCTCCGCGCCGCGCCCCGCCCCCTCCGCGCCGCGCCCCGCCCCCTCCGCGCCGCGCCCCGCCCCCTCCGCGCCGCGCCCCGCCCCCTCCGCGCCGCGCCCCGCCCCCTCCGCGCCGCGCCCCGCCCCCTCCGCGCCGCGCCCCGCCCCCTCCGCGCCGCGCCCCCTCCACGCCGCGCCCCGCCCCTCCGCGCGGCGCCCCGCCCCCTCCGCGCCGCGCCCCGCCCCTCCGCGCCCCGCCCCCTCCGCGCCGCGCACCGCCCCCTCCGCGCCGCGCCCCCCTCCGCGCCGCGCCCCCTCCGCGCCGCGCCACGCCCCCTCCACGCCGCACCCCGCCCCTCCGCGCCGCGCCACGCCCCCTCCGCGCCACGCCACGCCCCCTCCGCGCCCCGCCCCGCCCCCTCCACGCCGCGCCACGCCCCCCTCCGCGCCGCGCCCCCTCCGCGCCCCGCCCCCTCCGCGCGCCGCCCCCTCCGTGCCGCGCACCGCCCCCCTCCGCGCCGCGCCCCCTCCGCGCCCCGCCCCCTCCGCGCACCGCCCCCTCCGCGCACCGCCCCCTCCGCGCCGCGCCACGCCCCCTCCGCGCCGCGCCCCCTCCGCGCCGCGCCCCCCTCCGCGCCGCGCCCCCCTCCGCGCCGCGCCCCCTCCGCGCCGCGCCACGCCCCCTCCACGCCGCGCCCCGCCCCCTCCACGCCGCGCCCCGCCCCCTCCACGCCGCGCCCCGCCCCCTCCGCGCCGCGCCACGCCCCCTCCGCGCCGCGCCACGCCCCCTCCGCGCCGCGCCACGCCCCCTCCGCGCCGCGCCACGCCCTACCTGTCCCCACGGGCACGCGGCTCGGCCCACACGCCGTCGTGGCCGTCCCCGGCCTGCACCAGGGTGTCCGTGTCCTTGGCCTCGGGGCTCCGCCGGGAGAAGCATTGCTTCAGCTGGTCCTGCGGGGGACATGCGTGTCAGGGAGGCGCTCGGAGCACTGGACACGCGAGTCACCATGAGCCACGGCGACTCATGGCGGCCAGCCTCCTGCCGCCCTCCCGGAGGCTCCCTGCTGGGGAGCCCGGCCCTCCGGGGTGTCTGCTTGAGCCTCAGCGAGCAGCCTGGTCCCCACGCCCGTGTGTCACGCATCCCCCGCAGCCCGGGGCCATCCAGCCAACTCGCCACCCACCCTGCTGTCCCTCAAGAAGCCCAGGACGTGGGCTTCACCACGGCCCCCACTTTCCCCACGTGGAGGGCGGGTGACTCAACCCTCGCCAGACAGCCAGTGGCGAGGCCTCGTCTGGAGCCCCGCGCCCATGCTGGTGGCTGACACAAGGCTGCGGTCACCACAGAACTGGCCACGGGGCCACCACGGACCCCCCCTCCGAGCTCATCCACGTGACAAAATAAAAGTCCTGCCTGTGGCCCAGCGCCCCCCCCCCCCCCCCCCAGCCTGGATGCAAACGCACTCAGCAGCTGAGGAATCTGGAGATGAGGAAGGAGCTGCAAGCAAGCCGGGCCCTGATTCCAGAAAGTTCCCACACAGCACACCCTACTCCCTCCTTTGGACCCATAGCTGTGTGGTAGAGCGCTGGCCAGGCACGTGCAAGGCCTGAGCTCTGTCCCCACCTGCGTACACACACAGCATGCATATGCACAGCGCGCGCGTGCATGTGCACACACACACACACACACACACAATCTAGTGTTCCACGGACCAGCTCCTTTCACGCGAGCGCTCTACCACTTGAACCACGGTGCCACTTCTGGTTTTCTGGTGGTTCATTGGAGATGAGAGTCTCACAGACTTTCCTGCCTGGGCTGGCTTTGAACTGTGATCCTCAGATCTCAGCCTCTGAGGCGTTAGGATGACAGGTGTGAGAAGCCGGCTCCCTGCTAGAGCTCATACTTTTCCATTAATGGTCAATGACAGGATGGACTGGCCTGGTGCTAAATCCACGCATCTCCCGGTGAGCACCACCAGTCCCCAGTGCCGGGCAGGGCTGCCGAGGGCCGCGCTGCAGGGGGGGTGGTCTGTGCTCAGGACAGTGGAGACACCTTGCCAAACCCTCGCAGGTGTGGGAGGGATTTTCCCCTCTACCTCCTCATGCCAGATCAGGTTCCCAGGGCACCTCCCTGCCACCCCCGCATGCATCCTCTGAAGGATGGACAAGTCTCTTTCTGGAATTTTCCACGGGAATTCAGGCACGGAGACCCTCAGCGTCCATTCATGGCTTTGCCACATGGGACACAGAGGTCCAGGAGCCAGAAGAGCGGGGCATGGCTCCCGGTTCTGGGGGTGAGTGACAGGCAGGGCTGGGGCCCCCCAGTATCTGCCAGACCCTGCCCCGGACTGTGCCCCTCGGCCACGAGGCTGCACGGGCCCGGGAAGGCTTCACAAACCCAGGAGCTTGCAGCCTAAGCAAAACCCGCCTGCTTGGATTCGCTCATCACCAGAGCCGGCGGCCCGTAGAAGGTTCTGGTCTTGGCCCTAGCCCAGGTCCAGGGGAGACGGGTCTGTTCAGCCCAGCCTGGAGATGGGGGCGACACATGTCTTTAAGGGTCATGTTCAAACACGCCACACCCCAGGTCCCCAAACTCAAAACGGGCACATTCAGCTGAATCAGCAAATGTTCCAGAAACTTCTCTCTAGAGAAGCATCTGACACGGTGAATACGGAGGCTCTGGGAGGGATTGGCAAGACCGGCACACAAGGAGAGCGAGCTTAGGTGTGGGCAAGATGGCAACTGGAATTCCCAGCTGCACAGGGAGACAGCCGGCCGGGGAAAGCCACCTCCCCAAGAACACACACGCCACAAGAGACTCACGCTCACACACACTCACACACACACACAGCAGAGGCAGGAAGAGGAAAATACGCCTCCGCTGCGGGTCCTGACGCCAGCTGCCTACAAACAATCATACGTGGGAGGATGAGCAGAGACTCACATTGATTCTAGAAGGTTCCATAGCCAACGGCCCACAGGGCTGGCTTTTTATTACTGATTTTATTCAGGATCCACACCTGTGGTTTGAGGCCCTGATAGAATCTAATGGTAACATTCAAATTAAATAAGTCAATTATTCTTCCAAGTGCCACCCATTAGGTTGTGTGCGTGAGCGTGCATGTGTGCACACACTCGCATTGTGCCTGGTGTGGTGGCTCACACCTGTAATCCTAGCTACTCAGGAGGCTGAGGTCTGAGGCTCACAGTTCAAAGCCAACCAGAGCAGGAAAGTCCATGAGACTCTGATCTCCAATGAACCATCAAATAGCCAGAAGTGGCGCTGTGACGCAAATGGTAAAGCACCAGCCTTGAGCACAGAAGCCCAAGGACAGTGTGCAGGCCCTGAGTTCAAGCCCCAGGATCAACACACACACACACACACAATCGCCTAAGAACAAAGCAGCCTTTGTGAGTGAGTGGCCAGGCCCAGTCAGCTCTCTTCTAGTAAAGGGGGGCGCGGTGGGTGAGCCCCGGGCCTGGTGAGCCACCATGGTCTCTGCGCTGGGCCTCACCAACTCCGCTGTCTACGGGACAGCAAAACACGCTCCTGGCTGTGTGCCAAGAAAACTTTATCGACAGAAGGGACTGTCGGCTGGATTCAGCTCTGGGGCAGTGGTTGGCTGGTCCTCACTCCGCAGCCTTCAGACAGAAGTGGGGGCTAGGCCGCCACTCTGCACCCCAGCCTGGGGTGCACTGCCTGTGGGGAGGGGGGGCAGGTGTGAGCTTCTAAACCAGAACCGGTGACATGGTGGGGAAAGAAAACACCGCGCCCCGACATAAGGACTGTGGGGAGCCCCGAGTCGGTCACAACTGACATCGCAGTTCCAAGTAACCCAAGACGTCCAGCCCGGCCCCCAGCAACTCCACACCCTGGCTGGCCAGGGAGCTCTGTGGTCACCCAGCATGGTCGCCCAGCACGGAGGACTCCTGCTTGGAGTCAGGGCCTTGCCGGGGCCTCTGGCATCGCCCTCTCCTCGTCCAGGTCCAGGTCGGTCTGAGCACATGGGGGGGGGGGGCAGGGGGCTGAACCAGATCTCGCTTCCCAAGGCTGCCATGTTCTCCTGGCTCTGGCCAACGAAGAGAGCTACCAGGCCCTCGGCAACCCTTTGTCAAATGGGGAAAATGAGGACCAAGCAAACAAAGAGAACCTGGCACATAGTAAGGGCTGAATAAATAAGACCGGTGGGAGAAAGCAAAAATGGGTGGGATGGGAGAAGGGAGGGGGGAGGCAGGAGAGAGGAAGGAGGGACCGTTGGAGGGTGGGAGGGAGGTAGAGGAGAGGGAGGGAGCACAGAGGAGAGGGGGAGGTGGGAGGCAAGGAGGGCAGCCAACTGAGAGGAAATAGATGGATGGTGGATGGATGAGTGGGTGGGTGGGTGAATGGATGGATGGATGGATGGATGGATGAGTGGATGGATGGGTGAATGGATGAATGGATGGATGGATGGGTGGGTGGATGGGTGGATAGAAAAACTGAGTGAACGGATGGGTGGATGAATGGATGGATGGATGGGTGGATAGATGGACTGTGGGTGAATGGATGGGTGGGTGGGTAGATGGGGGATGGATGGGTGGATAGATGGATGGATGAGTGGATGGAGGGGTGGGTGGAAGGATGTGTGGAGAATGAGGCTGGGCGTGGCCATCAGACCCATCTGCCAGCAAAACCTGGAGCAAGAGCGCCCCCTAGGGGCAGGGGAGAGCACTTCCTGGGAAAGGGCAAGAGGCCTGCCAGGGACCCGTCTGTGGCTCCAGCAACCACGACACAAGCGTGGCCTGGGGCCAGCAGGCCTGGCCCGCGTGGCTGGAGGTGGTGTCAGGACACGGCGGGCGTTACCCAGCGGGACGGGAGGCTGTCTCTCCAGGGCTGGTGGCGGGGGGAGGAGAAGGGAGCGAGGAGAGACCGCGGGCTGGGCAGGTGGGCAGAGACGGCATGGCCGGGGTCCTCCCTAGTCTGCGTGAAAGCACGTGGCTCTCCCTCCACGGGCCTGCAGGAGGTGTGCATCACGCCATCCATGCAGCCCACGGAGCCACGGGAAAGCCACAGAGCCCTCGGCGGACAAGCCGGGGCCTGGCGGGGGGCAGCCGAACCACTGCCCTGCGGGGCCCAGGCAGGGCCAGCTCACCTGATGGCCTCGACGGTCACCAGTCACGTCCAGGTCCCCCACGGCGAGCAAACGCCACAGCTCCACATGGCAGCCACGGTGCTGCCATCGGGCTGAGCGCGGAGGGGCTGCCGGGCCCGAGGGGCGGGGACACGCACACCCCATGCAGCCATTCTGCACGGGGCAGGCTTGCTTTCTGGGAGGAAGCACCCCGCAAAGCTCTCCACCGAGGACAGCCTTGATGAGTGGGCTCCCAAGCCTCCCGGGCCTCCGGATCCCAGGGGCCCGGGGGACACCCCGGGGCCTGGGCTCTGCGCTCTGGGGATGGAAGGTGTGGTAGAGCACCAGCCCTGAGCCAGGAAGCTGAGAGTGAGAGGTCTTGAGTTCGAGTCCTAGTATGACTTTGTTTCTATAAAGCACGCAGTGCAAAATCCTGACACTCTGTGAACAGCGTGGCCAGCGTGAAATGCTTCTTCACAGGTGTAAAATAGAGATCGACCCTCAGAGAAGTGGGGAGGAGGGCCCCCCAGAAAGTCAGGGGTCCACAGGGGCGTTGGGGGAGACCAGATCACACGTCACTGGTGTGGAAGCAGAATCTATGTGGATCTTAAGCCTGAAGGTTTTTAGTAAGCTCTGCAGTGATGCTCGGCTGACCTGTGTGGCGAGGGACAGGTACGCCACCGAGTCCCCGGGGGAACAAACAGCTTCTTGGGGACACTGGGCCACCATTTGCCAGTGCGTAAGCGGGCAGGTCACACAGAACAGGACAGGGAACAGGAAAACCGTGGGAGGGGGCGGGGGCGGGGCGGGGAGAGGCAAGGGGCAGGGACCAGAGGGGGGCGGCGGTGGAGGGGGACAGGGACAGAGGGACAGGGACCCCTCCACCTCCCTTTCTATTGGCCAAGGCTTGTGGCCTGGTGACAGGAGGACAGGGGGTGACAGTTCAGAAGTGTGGTTTCAGGCAAGCCCACCAGTGTGTCCTGCCCCGCCCCCTTCCTCCTTCCCCGCCTCTCCCTCCCCTCCCCTCCCCCCTCCCCTCCCCTCCCCATCCCCACCTCTCCCTCCCCTCCCCCCTTCCCTCCCCTCCCCTCCCCCACCTCTCCCTCCCCTCCCCCCTCCCCTCTCCTCTCCCACCTCTCCCTCCCCTCCCCCCTCCCCTCCCCTCCCCTCCCCCACCTCTCCCTCTCCTCCCTGCTCCCCTCCCCTCCCCCACCTGTCCCTCTCCTCCCCCTCCCCTCCCCTCCCCCTCCTCCCCCCTCCCCTCCCCTCCTCTCCCCGTCCCAGCCTCTCCCTCTCCTCCCCCCTCCCCTCCCCTCCTCTCCCCGTCCCAGCCTCTCCCTCTCCTCCCTGCTCCCCTCCCCTCCCCCCTCCCCTCCCCATCCCCACCTCTCCCTCTCCTCCCTGCTCCCCTCCCCTCCCCCACCTCTCCCTCTCCTCCCTCCTCCCCTCCCCCCCACCTCTCCCTCTCCTCCCCCCACTCCCCTCCCCTCCCCCACCTCTCCCTCTCCTCCCTGCTCCCCTCCCCTCCCCCACCTCTCCCTCTCCTCCCCCACCCCCCTCCCCTCCCCCACCTCTCCCTCTCCTCCCTGCTCCCCTCCCCTCCCCGTCCCCATCTTTTTGGAGGGTTCTTAAAACAGCCTACACCACATTTGACTGCACTTTTTTTGGAAGCCACAAGCTGAAATATCCCTGTCCTAGTTTATTTCAGGCCAGGGACCGACTTGTCAGGCGACAGCAGCAGTGTGCGGCCTCGGTGTGAGCAGGGGCGGGCCGCATGCCGGCCTGAGTGCGAGGAGGGTGGGCAGTGTCGGTGAAAGTGCAAGGCGGGGGGAAGCGTGCAAGCGTGAGTATGAGGCCGGGGGGTGGGCAGTACGTAGGCATAAGTGTGAGCAGGGGTGGGCTGCATGCCGGCCTGAGTGTGAGTGCCCCTGTGGAGCCCACTGTGCCGGTGTGCACCTCCCCATCACGATCACCAAGAAACGGAGACGTGGAGATGTGAGGCAGCAGGGTACCGGCCAGGCGTCCCCCAGACGCAGCCACCGGGGATTAAAAACTCCGGGTCAGCCGGTGCCGGTGGCTCACGCCTGTCATCCTAGCTACTCAGGAGGCTGAGATCTGAGGATCGCGGTTCAAAGCCAGCCCAGGCAGGAAAGTCCGTGAGACTCTTATCTCCAATAAACCACCAGAAAACCGGAAGTGGTGCTGTAGCTCAAGTGGTAGAGCGCTCGCCTTGAGCTGAAGA